AATTGTAGATTTAATTCTTTTTATTGTATCAGATAAATTTTCTTTCATTTTACTTTCTATAGGGAGAGCAATATGATAAAATAAACCTTTCTTAATTTTTTCCGCTATACCTAATTGAAGTTTACCAAAGTTTGGTAATTTTTCTCGTTTTGCTAAAGATCTGGAGCCATTATCTCGAGGCTCTCCGTCAACTGAAAGAAAATATGTTAAATTGTCTCTTCGCATTGGTAGTTGGTCTCTACAGTCGATAACATATTTTTCTTGTTTATTATTTAAATTTTCACAATTTCCCTTTTCCACTAAGTTATCTTCTTTATCAGATGATTCTTCGGAATTCGAATTTTCGTAGCCTTGGTCAATTTCTTCGTGTTTCTTCAATTTTGATTTTTCTTTATTATACTCAGGATCTGACTCAATTTCGTCAGGGATAACTTCATTATAAAATTTTTCTTTTCTCTTATTATTTGTATTGCATACCTTTTTCGGTCTTCCCCTTCTCTTCTTGGAAAAGGAGGTATTCAAACGTGTGCTATGTTTCTTCGGTCTACCTCGTTTCTTTGTTTTGTGTGCTTTTATTTCTTCATTTTCAATTTCTTCGATTTCTTCATTTTTCTTTTCTTGTATATTCTTTTCTTGATTATCATTTTCTTGTATTTTCCTTTGATTTCTTGTTATGACATTACAAGTTTCTTTACTTGTAAAATAATTTCTTTCAATAGATGGGAGATTTTTCCTTATCTCCGAAGTCATGTAGGATTCATTGTCCTTTAATATTTTTTCAATAGATGGGAGACTTTTTTTTATCTCCAAATTCGTGTAGCATTTATTAATTATTTTTTCAATATGTGGGAGACTTTTTCTTATCTCCAAATTCAAATAGGATTCATTGTCCTTAAGTATTCTTTCAATAGATTGGAGACTTTTCCTTATCTCAAAATTCATGTAGGATTCATTGTCCTCAAATAATTTTTTAATAGATCGAAGAATTCTTAATATTTCTGAGTTTTCATAGGATTCATTGTCCTTAAATATTTTTTCCATATCATGGAGATTTCTTATTATCTCCGAATTCAAGTAGTATTTAGTTTCATTTGCTACACAATGTATATATTTTTCAATTTTTTCTTGCACACATTTCATTATATTTTCTTGTATTTCCTGAGTTTCTTCCATTTTTTCTTCTTTTATTCCTTGTACTTTTTCTTCAATAATATCTTCAACTGGATTTCTGGATAAGGCATCAGCATTGACATTTGTTTTGCCTGCCTTGTAGACCACATTAAAATCGTATTCTGCAAGTTTCAGCTTCCATCTTGTTACTCTGGAGCAGGGATCTTTAGAATTTTGAAACCAAACTAATGGTTTGTGATCCGTTACTAATGTAAATTTTCTACCATAAAGGTATGGTCGAAAATGTTGCACACTATATATGATGGCCAAGGCTTCCTTTTCGTACGTGTCATATTTTCTTTCGCATTCATTTAAAGTTCTTGACGTGTAGGCGACTGGTTGGTCTTTTCCAATCACTCCTTGCGATAAAATCCCTCCTATTGCGAAACCTGAAGCGTCTGTTGTCAGTATAAATGGTTGCGAAAAGTCGGGTCTTTTCAGAAGTGGTTCTTCACATAGTTTACTTTTCAACGTATCAAAAGCTGTCTGTTGTTTATCAGTCCAAAGGAAAGGAATATCTTTTCTTAAAAGTTGATTTAAAGGATTAGCGATTTTCGAAAATCCGTCTATAAATTTTCGATAATAACCTGCCAATCCTAAAAATTGTTTTATATTTTTTACATTTTTTGGTTTTGGAAATTTCTTTACCGCTTCTACTTTTTTCGGGTCGGGTCTTACCCCGTTTTTATCTATTATGTGTCCTAAGTACCCTACCTCTAATCTCAAAAATTCACATTTGTCTGGCTGTAATTTTAAATTAGCAAAACGTAATCGTTCCATAAGTTTAGAAAATTTTTCTTCATGTTCCTCCAAGGTGTCTGCATAAATCACAATATCATCTAAGTAAACAAATAGTTCTGATCCTTGTAAACCCAATAATACCTGATCAATAAGTTTTTGGAATGTACTTGGCGAATTTTTCAGTCCGAAAGGCATTCTGTCGAATTCATAGTGTCCAAATGGCGTTGAAAATGCTGTCTTATAAGAATCTCTAGGATCCATTTTGATTTGATGAAAACCTGATGCCAAATCGAAAACTGAAAAATATTGAGCGTTTCCGAGTTGATCCAGTAGGTCCGTAATATTAGGTAGTGGGTAAAATTGACCTACCGTGCGTTCATTAAGTTTTCTGAAATCTAAAACTAATCTCCATTTTTTATTCCCTTGTGAATCATTTTTCTTTGGTACAATCCATATTGGTGTATTGTACGGTGAGTCCGAATCTTTAATAATTTTTTGCTTTAATAATTCGTTTACTTGGCGTGTCATTTCTTCTTTGTGAACAGGCGGAAATCTGTATTGTTTGGTTATAATTGGTGTATCATCTGTCGTTATGATTCTATGTTTTATGAGATCTGTTCCTTCTAAATATTCTCCAGGTATATGAAATCTGTCTGAATAATTTTTTACTAAGTTCATGATGTGTTCTAATTCTTCTTTGTTTAAGTGTTCAAGACGAAGTAATTTTTTAATTTCTTCAACTCTATCGTTGCCTGTAATGTTGAAAACATTTTCTGATTTAATATTTTTCGAAAATACATCAATTATTTGTTTAATTGATGAGTCTTCATTTTTAATATCAGATTTGTTTACTGGAGTTTCTTGTTTTATTTCATCAAAATCTTCTAAATTTATTTCAAAAAGTGGAATGTCAATTGATTCATTCAGTGTGTTGATTGCCTTTAAATAAGCTATGCCTTCTATGTTTGAAACTACTGCATCACCTAAGTAAACACCATCTTTTACTTCTAATCTTGGAATAAAACCCTCTTTTTTATTTTTATTTAAAATCTTTACATGAATGTTACAGATGGACCTTGGTGGTATTGTAAAATAATTTTTTGAATCAAAATTAAATTTTTGTTTATTGATTTCTAGATGTCTTTCTTCATAATTAATTTTTACTTTATTCTGGACAAAAAATTCTGTTCCTAAAATACCGTCATGTTCAATTGGAACTTCATTAGGTAATAAATTAAAAATTGTTGAAATCCCGAAAATATTAATTTCTACTTGTCCTAAAGTATAAACTGCGTGATCGTTAATTCCTGTTAATTTAAGACATTTATTTTCATCAATTTTTATATCAGGATTTAATGCGCGAATTTTCAATAAATTTGGTCCTGCTCCTGTGTCAATCATCATTGTTATTGGAACTTTCAACTCTTTAGTATCGATTCGAATGTATGGAATTGCATTAGTTTTTGCTAAATTAATGTTTCTGGATGCATAGTAATTTCTTCTTAATTCTTCCTCAGAGCACCCTACTGAAGAGGAATTTTGGAGTTTCCCTGATTTTGTGTTTGTGAATTTGTTTGTTGTTGTTTATTGCTATCATCCCACATCTTTTTCCTACAATTGGTGGAAATGTGTCCTAATTTTTTGCAATAATTACACGTTATACTTTGATTTCTATTCGCAAAGTTTGTAGTATTGTTAGTTCTTGGTTCTTGAGAGAAATTTCTTTGTTGATTTTGGAAAAAGTTTTGTTGTTGATTTTGTCTTTGATTTTGGTATGGAGTTCGGAATTGATTTTGTGGTATGTGTTTAATCACTATATATGTGATAATTTATTAAAATAATTATTGTATTTTTTATATAATATTTAATGATGATTATTAATTATATTCTATTATTTGTTAACTTTTTCATTTAATTAAATTAATCTTTAACCATAATGTATTAAGTCTAATTTTATAAGACAGTTATTCTATATTATACTCAATACGATATATTTATAAGTTTCATTTTTCTAAACAAGATAAGTAACTTCGGCGAATGCACGTGTTCCAAAATTTGTTTAGTTTATCCCTACTCTCGCTATACTTGAGACAAAGGGTATCTTGAAAGAAGTTTGATGAAGTCGTCAGTACCAATTTGGGAATTGTAATGAAAAGTTCATATAAAATTACACATTAAAATAATTCTCATTGTTCTTATTTATTCTTTCCCTCTTGTATACGAAATAATCTTTCCTTCATGTAAAAATGACGGAAAGGTACTAAAAACATTAGTACATTTAAACATGGTCCTTCGAGCCGGATTTTTATTCCTTTTCTTTCAAAAAACTTTAATTTGGTGCTAATAAACAGAAACTAACTAAACGCAACAGTGCTGTGCAGTGAAACGAATTTATTCACCTGATATCTTGATCAGATCAGACAAAGCAAACACAAAAGTGAATTTTGAAAGTGTATAATCAGTGTTATACCAAATTCAACCTAACTTAATCAAATAATACTCAATTATATTAACATAATAATACTTTATAAAAAAAACTTAATCAGTGCAATATACAAACAAAAGTGAATTAATTCCACCAATTTAAATCAATACATTAAATAATGTTAACATAGAACATTCAGTTCTGTACATCACTCGTTTTAAATTAATTCTAAGTAGTACTACATTTCTTTCATGATTTAAATCTTTTTCACAAAGGGGGACATTACAACAAAAATACCCTTAACAATCGTTCAAACGAATTTTATATTCGACAAGCAAATTGAGGCAATGCGTTTAAACACCTCAACAAATACAACAACATATCAATGAGGCAATGCGTTCAATACACCTCAATCACATTTAACATTAAATCGGCAATGCGTTTAAAACACCGTTATTAAAACATACATTCACTTTGAGACAATGCGTTCAAAACATCTCATCTTCTTCACAGGCACTTATCAGGTTCTATAAGGTATGTCAATTTATTGAGTCTTACTTAAAGAAATGTCCTATCTATTGTGTGTTATTTACATAATCTTTAATATTTAATCTGATAATCATTTACTTTACAATTTTGAATAAATTCATATACATTATTCAAAATGGAGGATTTTGATCGTATAAGCGTTCTTTCACAAAAAATAATTACAATTAAAGAACATTTAACAGCTTTCGAAGAATTTCTTGCACAATTCAATTCACATGATCCTGCTCAAATCGCTGAATTACAATTACGATACAATTCAGTATTTTCGTATTTTTCAAATATTGATGAATTGTATAACGAGATACAATTAATTGATTCTGAAACTGACCATACCCTCGATAAAAAAACTTTACAAAATTCATTTTTTAAATTATTAGCGTCAGCTCAAAATCATGTTACAATTATAACACAAAGAGAGCAAACTAATAGTTTACATAATCATGAATTAAATTCTAATTCGGAAAATGAACGACTCTCAAATGTTTCGAGTCACTGTAGAAAATTAAAATTACCACAAGCCACTCTTCCAACTTTCAGTGGAAAGGTGGAAGAATGGTTGTCTTTCAAAGACACATTTATTACTATGATACACAGACGTGACGACATTACGAATGTTGAAAAATTGCAATACTTAAAATCAGTATTAAAAGACGAAGCTTTGCGAAAAATTCAAGTTTTTGCAATCACGGACGAAAATTACGATCGCGCATGGAAGCTTTTGCAAAAATCATACGAAGATAAGCGTACATTAATTTCTCGTCATTTAAATTTGTTGTTGCGTTTACCATCACAAGAAAAAGAGTCTTATCAAGGCTTAATTGCTCTTGCAGATGAATCACAACAACATCTTCAATCTTTGGCTTCACTCGGAGTTCATGTAACTCATGAAATTGTAGTTGCTATTATCGAAGAAAAACTACACAAATTAACTTTAGAGAAATGGGACGAAAGTATAAAAAATGGGGAATTTCCTAGTTTGGAAGACATGACAGATTTTCTTTATAGAACTGCTGCACGTATTTCAAAACGTAAAATGAACACAGATAATAATGACAAAGATTCTCCCGTTAATAAAAAACGTAAAATCGAATCCAAAAAACAAGCTCTCGTTACTTCAACTTCCAAACAGTGTATACTTTGTTCTGATTCTCATCCTTTGTTTAAGTGTACCAAATTTTTAAGTTTGACTGTTAACGAACGTTTCAAAACTGTAAAAGATGCTAATTTATGCGTAAATTGTTTACGTAATCATAAAACAAAAGATTGTAAATTTGGCACTTGCAAAAAGTGTAATAAACGACATAATACTTTGTTGCACTTTACAAGGTCTCAGGATCAGAATCAAAGTGAAAATAAAGAAACATGACAATTAACGGACAATTTAAACATTTCATTAAATTCTCTGGTAACGGTATCATCATTTCATTTAATGACAAGTGCAATGGTTGAAGTATTTGATTATAAAAAACAAAAAATAAAAGCTCGAATTTTATTAGACACTTGTGCTACTGCAAATTTTATTACACGCGATTTATTAAATAAACTGAAACTTTCAACTACAAAATGTTCTTTTTCTGTAGGAGCTTTGAACAATTTAACTACTACAGTAAATAGTATGTTAGATATAACATTCAAATCTATTCATAACGAATATAAACGAACTCTTACTTTTCTTGTTGTTCCAAATATAACTGATTTAGTTCCGAATCAAACCATTAAAAGAGAAAATCTTAAAATTCCTCAAAATATTTTATTGGCTGATCCAAATTTTCATAAACCTGATAAAATCGATATGCTTATTGGAGCCGGTCCTACCTTATCTTTGTTTTCAATCGGTTCAATAAACTTATCTGAAAATGGAGATGATCTCTATTTACAAAAAACTAGATTGGGTTGGATAATTGCTGGCGGTTTGGATATTTGCAAAAATTCTCAAAACATTAAATCAACTAAATGCATGTTAACAGATTTGCAATCAACTATTGAAAAATTTTGGTTCATTGAAGAATTACCAACTCAATCTACTTTTTCTCAAGAAGAAATCGAATGTGAAAAACATTTTAAAGAACACGTAACGCGTGACAAAGACGGACGATATATAGTCGCCTTACCATTTAAAATATCACCCGACAAAATCGGAGAATCTAAACAAACAGCGATAAAAAGATTAAATGGGTTACTAAAAAGATTTGATAGTAATGATGAATTTAAAAAAGAATATTCAGCAATAATTCAGGAATATTTAAATTTTAATCATATGACAAAATTAGACTCATCAATTAATACAGAGGGCTTCTATTTACCCCATCACGGCGTTTTTAAAGATTCGAGTGTTACCACAAGATGGCGTATTGTTTTCAATGCTTCTTCGAAAAGTTCTAACGGAATTTCATTAAATGACACTTTAATGGTCGGTCCTACTATTCAAAGTGATCTTTTCTCATTATTAATGCGATTTAGAGTATTTAAATATGTACTTATAGCTGATATTGAGAAAATGTATCGACAATTTTTAATACGTGAAGAAGACCGAAAATTCCAAAAAATTTTATGGTATGAAAATCAAAAAATTCAAGAATACCAGTTAAACACAGTAACTTTCGGTTTTGCTCCCTCAGCTTTTTTAGCCACTCGATGTTTACAACAATTAGTAGAAGATGAGGGACAAAATTTTCCATTAGCCGCAAATGTTTTAAAAAATGATTTATACGTTGACAACCTTCTTACGGGTGCTTCAACATGTAAACAAGCTCGAGAAATATATAATCAAATGATTCAACTTTTAGATAAAGCACAGCTCAATATGCGTCAGTGGGCTTCCAATGAACCTTCTATACTTGAAGGTGTTAATGAAAAGAGCATCGATAACGAATTTAAGCTTAATAAAGATTACACAGTAAAAACTCTTGGTGTATATTGGAAGGCCATTGAAGACATATTTTTATATCGTATTAAATCACCTGATATTAGCATTGCATTCACCAAAAGAACAATTTTATCTGAAATAGCAAAACTATTTGATCCTCTCGGTTTTTTGGGTCCAGTTATACTATATGCCAAATTAATTATGCAAGAATTGTGGCAATCAAAAATCACGTGGGATGAATCGATACCTTCTTCGATTTATCATAATTGGACAAATTTTTGTACACAACTTGAATCACTTAAGACTATTAACATACCAAGATACGTTTTAATTGATAATGTAAAAACTGTACAATTGCATGGCTTTTGTGATGCTAGTATGAAGGGATACGGAGCTTGTTTATATGTTCGTAGTGAGAACGATAAGGGACAAATACAATGCATTTTATTATGTTCAAAATCACGCGTTGCACCTTTAAAAACAAGTACGATACCAAGATTGGAACTTTGCGGAGCAGTTTTGTTAGCAAACTTGTGTCAAAAAATTTTACATTCACTTCAAATTAACATTGAAAAAACAATTCTTTGGACTGATTCAGAGATTGTATTACATTGGTTACGCGCAAATTCAAATTCTTTAAAAACATTCGTTTCAAATAGAATTTCTGAAATTCAATCAAAAACTGAAATAAATCAATGGCGTCATGTTCCTTCTAAAAACAATCCTGCTGATCAATTATCGCGAGGTCAATTACCTGATAAATTTATCACAAATAATAATTGGTTTCAAGGTCCCTCTTGGTTATGTCAAAATGAAACTTTTTGGCCAAAATTTCAACTAAAAAAAGTCAATGAACCTTTACCTGAATCTAAACAATTAACTTGTTTAAAAGTTAACTTACAAATCAATACTTGGAAAAAATTTTCTTGTTTCACAAAATTGAAAAGAACTATTGCTTTCTGTTTTCGTTTTTTACCTAAGTATAGACAATGTAAAGGTCCCTTAACAACAGTAGAATTAAATCATGCGGAATTGGTTATAATTCGACTTGTACAAAACGAATGTTTTCAAAGCGAAATTGACGATTTAAGAAAAAATAAACCTTTAAATAAGAAAAGCAAACTTTACAATTTGGATCCTTTTCTTAGCGAAGACGGTTTATTACGTGTCGGAGGTCGTTTAAAAAATGCAAATATTTCATTTGATCAAAAACATCCAATAATTTTGCCGAAATCGAATTTTTTAAGCGAACTAATCATTTCTCATTTTCATGCTATTTCCTATCATGGAGGTCAACAAGCGACTTTATATTCGATACGTCAAAAATATTGGCTTGTAGACGGAAGAAATCAAGTTAAAAAGATTATACGTAAATGCGTTCCTTGTTTTCGAGCTAAACCAAGACTAGCCAGTTATAAAATGGGTAATCTGCCTGAATCACGGGTAACTCAAATAAGACCATTTAATAAGGTTGGTATAGATTACTGTGGTCCCTTTTTTATAAAAGAACGAAAATATCGAAATCAAAAAAGAATTAAAGTCTATGTATGTGTTTTTGTTTGTATGTCTCTCAAGGCAATTCACATTGAATTAGTAAGCGATTTGAGCAAGGAAGGATTTTTAGGAGCTTTAAGACGTTTTATTGCTCGTCGTGGCAAACCACATTCTATTTATTGTGACAATGCAACAAATTTTAAAGGTGCAAGAAATGAGTTGAATGATATATATGTTCTTTTTAAATCTCAAAATTTCAAAAATGATATTTGTTATTTTACAAGTAACAAAAATATTGAATTTCATTTCATTCCTCCTTCCTCTCCTCACTTTGGTGGATTGTGGGAGGCTGGAGTGAAATCATTTAAACACCATTTCAAAAGAGTAGCTTCAAATTCTCTGTTTACATTCGAAGAATTTTACACTCTTGCAGTTGAGATAGAAGCTATTCTAAATTCGAGACCATTAACTCCTCTTTCCTCAGATGTAAATGATTTATCAGCTTTAACACCAGGACATTTTCTGATAGGTGACTCATTGACAAGTTTACCTGAACCTGATTTAAAGCCATTACCTTCAAATCGTTTATCCTCATGGCAATTAATTTCTAAAGTACGACAAGATTTTTGGAAAAGGTGGAACGTCGAGTATTTAAATGAACTTAATATTCGTAAAAAATGGTGTAAAGACTCCGAAAATTTAAAAAAGGATATGCTTGTAATAGTAAAAGATGATAACGTTTCTTGTATGCAATGGCCATTAGCGAGAATACATGAACTGCATCCTGGAAGTGATGGTGTTGTTAGATGTGTGACTTTAAAATTTTCTAACAATTTGTTAAAGAGACCAATCAATAAAATTGCTGTTTTGCCAATAGAACAGAAAATTGTTGAATGAATGTTGATCGTTTATACTCTCAACGGGGGGAGTATGTTTAATCACTATATATGTGATAATTTATTAAAATAATTATTGTATTTTTTATATAATATTTAATGATGATTATTAATTATATTCTATTATTTGTTAACTTTTTCATTTAATTAAATTAATCTTTAACCATAATGTATTAAGTCTAATTTTATAAGACAGTTATTCTATATTATACTCAATACGATATATTTATAAGTTTCATTTTTCTAAACAAGATAAGTAACTTCGGCGAATGCACGTGTTCCAAAATTTGTTTAGTTTATCCCTACTCTCGCTATACTTGAGACAAAGGGTATCTTGAAAGAAGTTTGATGAAGTCGTCAGTACCAATTTGGGAATTGTAATGAAAAGTTCATATAAAATTACACATTAAAATAATTCTCATTGTTCTTATTTATTCTTTCCCTCTTGTATACGAAATAATCTTTCCTTCATGTAAAAATGACGGAAAGGTACTAAAAACATTAGTACATTTAAACAGTATGTTTCTAAACTGATTTTGTGATGTGTTTCTAAATTGATTTTGAAACTGATTTTGTTGAGGATTTTTGTAAAAGTTTTGACTTTGAAATCTATTAAACATTGGATTTGGATTGTTGAATCGATTTTGATTCTGGTTTGAAAAATTTTGTCGTGATCCTGGATAAAAGGAGTTTTCTCGTCTTGGTCCTATCAATTTATTAAGTTGAAAACAGTTTACTGCAAAATGACCTTTCTTTCCACAAACTAAACAAGATATTATATTATCTTGAGCGACATTAATTTTTGTTGTCCTAGCAAAATCTTTATTATTTTTAAGATGAGAATTATATTCAGTATTATGCTCTTTTTTTCTTAGTTCGCGGTGTGATACCAATTTTCTTTCTATTTCTACTGCTTTGTTAACTATATCTTGAAATGTATCTGCTGTTCCAATTCGTATTTCAATTTCTGGTCTAAGTCCTCGTGAAAAACAATCAACAGTTGTTTTATCTAAACTTGCTTTAAATGGTTCATCTACTCTATTTTCATTGCTAATCCTATGTGCGTCTAATATTCTTTCTGCTGCTTCTGCGATTCTTGACCCATAAGAA